AACGGCTATCAATGGTACGGATTACCAGACATTGACACTCAGTGTGACGATTGCCGCAAATAGCACCATAAGTAATGTCATCGTTTTGCCATTATCGGACTTAATTGGCGAGGGAACAGAATCGGTAACTTTAGTTTTAAATACCGTTAATGGTGCGCCAGTTGGTGCCACACAACGAATTAATAACAGTTCGGATACCGCTGTCGTTGATATTTTTGATGAAGATATAGACCTTAGACTTTCCATTGTTGCTACAGACAGTAGTTCTCTAGAAGCAACACCGGCCATTGAAACAGGTACTTTCACTATCAGTATAGATAATGATATTGTCCTCACGACTGATCTATCCGTTCAGTACTCAATAAATGGCACGGCATTGAATACAGCAGCAGGGGTTAGTAATCCGGATTATTTAGCCATCAATTCAACGGCGGTTATTACAGCTGGCAATAATTCAGCGCTTGTCATTATCACGCCAATTGATGATGTCATTTCTGAGGCGTTGGAAACGATAGTCTTGAGCCTGTTGTCATCATCGGGTGCTCCTGATGGGGTGTCTGTAAGGCTATCGTTGTCTTCGCGTTCAGATATAGTAGAATTGGCTGATAATGATAATGACCTGGTTATTTTTATCAATGCGATAGATCCAACTGCCAATGAGTTGGGTTTTGATACCGCACAATATCGCATATCTCTAGGTGCCTTAGGTCTAAATGTATCACAGGTTCCGTTGACTGTTACCTATACCATTTCTGGTTCGGCAATTAATAACGTGGACTATAGCCAAATCGCTTCAACAGTATTATTCCCAGCTCTAAGCACCAGTGTTTTTGTTACCATAACACCACTGGACGATAATATTGGCGAAGGTTTAGAAAGCATTACTTTACTGCTGCAGTCGGTTGCTGGTGTCCCTAATGGTGTAACTATTACACCTTCTACAACTAGCGCGACTACCAATATACTGGATGAAGATACTGAAGTTATTGTTTTTGTTGTTGCTAGAGATCCAACAGCAGAAGAGTTTTCCAGCACAGAAGCGTTCTTTATTGAATTAGATCATGAATTAGTGACGGATGTGACTATTTTCTATTCATTAACTGGCAGTAGTAGCTTTGCTCTTGATTATGATAGTCCAGGACTAACTCGATTGATTGCAATGGGTTCTACGCGTGTGTTAGTCAATATATCACCACTTAGCGATGATATCGCTGAAGGCAATGAGGATGTTGTGTTGACTATCACCTCTATCATCGGTGCACCTGTTGGTGTGACAGGTACAATTAGTACTACTAGCGCTGCTGCGGCTATCGTTATTGTTGATGATCCTGATGATACCAATGTCACTTTATCTATCATCAGCTTTGATTCGACCGCGATGGAGGGGGTTTCAGCGGCTTCTGAACCGGCGGTGTTTAGAATTAGCATTGATGACAATAAAGAATTTAGCCGGGATATTACCGTCAGTTACGTGGTTCCACAGCCATCAGCAGTAGGCAATGCTCGTGAGGTTGATGACTACATTAGTATTGGTAGAACACGATTGATTGCGGAAGGCTCAACTTTTATTGATATCGAAATATCACCTGTTAATGACAATATCTCAGAAGGTAATGAGACGGTGATCATGCAATTAAATACAATTATTGGTCAGGCCGCTGGAGTGACAGCGGTGGCATCCGCTACAAATCGAGCAGATTTGACAATTATTGATGACGATACAACTATCATTATTTTACTGGAGGCTACCGATTCTACGGCAACTGAAGAAGCAAACTTAAGTGACCCTGTCACAGATTCTGCCAACTTCAGAATTAGCATCAGGGATGGCATTATTCTGTCTACCAATTTGACCATCAATTATACAATCAATGGGATTGCCATTAACGGTGTTGATTATGCGAGTATTGCTCTAAATGCAACCTTGGCAAGCGGTTCGACTGTGGTGGATATAGCCATTGTACCAATTGGCGATAATATCGCAGAAGGTGATGAAACGTTTAATATTAATCTGACAGCTGATAGTGGGGCACCTTCGGGAGTCACGATCATATTATCGACTAATACTGAACAAATCATTATTATTGATGAAGATACCAATGTTGAAATCAGTATTTTATCTGCTGATAGCACTGCCAATGAAAATCCGACAGGAACCGCTGAATTCACGATTTCATTGAATAAAGAAATCGCCACGCAAACATTTTTAACCTACAGTATTAGCGGATCAGCAGTTAATGGTTTGGATTATTCTGCAATTGTTGATAGCCACCTCTTTGCTATTTCTAGTACCGCGCTGGCAACAATCATTACACCAATACCAGCAAATGGAGATGGCATTAGTGAAGGTGATGAAACTGTTGTGGTTACATTGAACAGCTTGACTGGTTTACCAGCAGGTGTAACTGTTGGCATTGTTGTTCCAGCTGTTACATTGACTATTGAAGACAATCCTACAGAGCTGATCACAAATGTTACTCTTCAAACCATTGATGGCAGTATCGCTGAGGCGGGTGCTGATACAGCGACATTGAGGATATTTTTGGAAAGACCGGTAGCTAGAGACTTAGTTATTAACTATAGTATTACTGGTAGTGCTGATTTGGGTATTGACTATCAGATTCTAGCTCTTAGTGTGTTAATACCAGAAAACTCAACCTTTGTTGATATTGTTATCACTCCAATAGGGTCTGATAATTTAGGGGAAGGGCCAGAAACTTTAATCGTCGAAATTACCACGATAACGGGACAACCTGCACAAGTGACACTGAATCTTGTCGCTCCTAATCGCGAGCTTTTGACTATCGTTGATGACCCGAATGATGCGCAAATTGATATTAGTCTTCTGGCTACAGACCCTACTGCTGGTGAGCGAGATACGACGGTTGGCGAACTAAATCCTGATTTTGGTAACTTTAGAATTAGTTTAGATAATCCGGCAGCTACAGATATTGTTATCAACTACACGCTCTCAGCTACCTCTTCAGCTGATAATGGTATTGACTACAATACCATTGCTATTTCCGTGACTATTCCAGCGATGTCTAGCTTTTCAGATATTAGTATTTCTCCATTGGATGATGTCGTTGGCGAAGGCGATGAAACCATTGAGCTAGTTTTGTTAGCCGCTAGTGGCCAGCCTTCAGGCGTAACATTGACTATTACGGCACCGGATGATCAGGTTTTAATTGAAGATGATCCCGCTGATTTAATTATTTTAGTGGAGACCGTTGCGCTTGATAGCTCTATCAGCGAAACAGGCGAAACTGCTGGGCGTTTTAACTTACGAATTAACAATCCTTTGGTCTTGGATTTAAGTATTACCTACACATTAGGCGGTACAGCTATTAATAATTCAGATTATTCCAGCATAGGAAATACTGCAATTATTGGCGGTAATGTCGTGGTAAGCCAAGCGACAACAAACGTCGATGTCATCATAACCGCTATAGATGACTTAATTGCTGGGGAAGGTAATGAATCAGTGAGCTTATTACTCACAACCGCCTCTTACCCTAATCCTCAAATCAATGTAACAGTTAGTACTGCTGCTGCGGTAATGGAAGTCATCGATAATGACATTGAGATTTCAGTGCAGTTGTTATCCAATGGCGCAGCTTCAGAAAATGGCAGTACGGCTAGCTTTTTGATCTCTATAGATAATGATTTGAGATTAGAAGCGCCACTGACAATTTTATATAGCACCGGTGGTTCTGCGATCAATTCCCAAGATTATAATTTGTCACAGATCAACGCTGTTATTCCTGCATTGTCAACCAGTACGATTATTACCGTCAATCCAGTTGATGATATTGTCGCCGGTGAAGGTGATGAAACACTTACCTTAACGTTGAACACAGTACAGGGAGCACCAGCAGCATTAAGTGTAGTACTAAGCACTAATTCACCAGTAGTAACACTGGTCGATAATGACACAGAAATCAATATTGACATCAACACGATTGTTAGCCCCGCTGATGAAAATGGCTTTATCGAAGGGCAATTCCAAATAGAAATCACCGATGGTATTTTGGTTGCCCCGCTAACTGTAGGCTATACCATTTTGGGTTCGGCGATTAATGGTCTTGATTATATCGCGATTAATAGCACACAAGTTATTGCGCCTTTGAGTAGTGCGATCGACATTACGATTACACCACAAGATGATATCTTGGTTGAAGGAATAGAGACGATACAATTGCAACTGCTGAACACTTCAGGCCAGCCTAGCGGTTTGACAGTTATCATTTCTTCAGCGATTGCAGCGGTTAGCTTACTGGATGAAGATGATCAAATTACTTTACAAGTCAACAGCTTAGATGCTACAGGCTCTGAAGTTGGCTCTAATACTGCTACATTCCAAATTGCTGTTGTTGAAAATGTTCAACTCTCACAAAATATTACAATAGACTATACTTTAATTGGCACAGCCATTAATGCTATTGATTATGACAATATATTACCTCCAGCAATTATTACTGCACCTAGCACCTTTATTAACTTAACGATTACGCCTTTAGATGATGTTTTTGCTGAAGGAAATGAAACTATTTTGATTCGATTAATTACTATATCTGGAGTTCAGCAGGGAGTGATGGCCAGTATTAGTAGTTCAACAGATACTGCGTTGATAACAATTGAAGATGAAGATATTAATCTTGATGTGGCGATAATCGCAACCGATGGCAGTGCGAATGAAGTAGGGCCGGATAGTGGACAGTTCCAAATTTCCTTATCATCGCAACTACAAACAGATTTCACACTTTTCTATAGTATCGGCGGTGAAGCACTTAATAATATTGACTATAGCTTAATCGATAGTAGTATCGTTTTTGTCTCAGGCTCTACCCTTGAGTCAATTAATATTATTCCGCGCAGTGATGATATTGGTGAAGGCTTGGAAAGTGTATCTATTACGTTATCGTCAAGCTCAGGGTCTCCGAATGCTGTTTCGGTGGCCTTTACCAGTGGAACAGCTGTGCTGGACATTGAGGATGACCCAAGTGATTCTCAAGTGTTTGTTAGGCTGATAGCACAAGACCCAAGCGCCGCTGAAGCGAATGCGAATACAGGTGCATTTCTGATCACTTTAGATAACGAACTTTCCAGAGACCTTACTATCAGCTACACTTTAACGGGGTCTGCAACAAATACTGATGATTTTGAAACTTTAACAACGACTTTACTCATTGTTGCTGGTACTACAAATTTAACAACCATTATTACGCCTATCGAGATTGATAACCTAGCAGAAGGTACAGAAACTGTAGGTCTTGTTTTTGTATCATCATCGATAGCCACAAATGGAATTGTTGTTCAATTGGTAAATGTGGCTGCGACACCTTTTGTTGAAATTATAGATAACCCTCTAGATTCCATGGTGGTGCTCACTGCTACAGTGGTTGATGGTTCAGCTTCTGAAAGCTCTTTAGATCAGGCGTCTATTAGGATCAGCACTGATCGATTACTTAACACTGATTTATCGGTTTCATTTAATTTGTCAGGAAGTGCAGTCAATTCAATAGATTATCAGCAACTGAATAGCACGGCCATTATTCAATCCAGCATGGGAAGCACAGAAACCATTGTGGTTATTATCCCATTTGATGATGATATCGCTGAAGGGGCAGAAACAATAAGTCTTGTATTAGTAAGCCATGGCATTGTCCCGGCAGGTATAAATATAACCATTAGCTCAGCGATTCAAATAGTTGATTTAATTGATAATGACACCTCATTGACCATTGACTCATTAGCTGCTGTCAGTTCATTGCCAGAAGATGGAAGTGGCTCTCAATTCAATATCAATATATTGAATAATAAGGTAGTTGCCACCGATGTGATTGTGACTTATACCTTTGCAGGTGATGCAACGTTCATTGATGACTACATCATTAGCCCATTTCCAACACTGCTGATTCCTGCTTTATCGAGCTCGGTGAATGTTACTATTACAACAATTGATGATAATCTTGCCGGAGAAGGCATTGAAACAGTCAGCTTGGTTATTACTTCAGTATCAGGTCAGCCTGCTGGTATTAGCTTTACTATAGATTCAACTAGTGCGTCTATTGATGTTATTGATGCAGAAACTAATGTGGTTGGTACTTTAACGGTAACTGATGCGAGTGTGGCTGAGGTTGGTAATGATCGAGGTATTTTCCGTTTCACTTTTGATAACAATATTAGCTTTGTTCAAGATATAACTTTGAACTATACATTGACAGGCACAGCAAGCCCAGCGGATTTCGTGGGCAGCACATTGTTTAGCTCATCTGTGATTAATACTGGGTTGAATAGTATTGATATCAACTTCGTACCAGTTAATGACGGCCTTGGCGAAGGTTTGGAGAACCTTATTCTTACTCTAACGACAATAACGGGTGCTCCAAGTTCAGTCGATATACAGTTCCAAGCCCCAATATCAGGATCATTTGATATAGAGGACGATCCTGCCGATTCTATTTTGGTGGTAACAGTTGCTGAAGATGCATCTGCGGTTAATGAGGGTTCTTCAACAACCGCATTTAATATCGCTATTAGTACGCTATTCAATACTGATTTAACCATTCATTATAGTGTTCTTGGCACTGCTTCAATAGGCGTAGATTATGGCAATGTGGCGACCACTATTCTGATACCTGTGTCTACCACTAATGCCGATATAGAAATTAATTTGATTGATGATGCTCTTATTGAAAGGACCGAGTCTATTGAAATTCAATTGACCTCGGTAAGTGGCGTAGCCTCTGCAGTGACAACGATTATAAGTACTACTAACGCAGTTGTAGAGATTATCGATAATGATAAATTATTAAGCATCCAAGTTACTTCACAAGATTCTACAGCCGCTGAACCTATTACTGCTGGCAACCTTGGCAGCAATATTGGCACTTACCAAATTACAGCTTCAAATCCAGCAGCATTTAATTATATTTTAGCGTATAGCTTGCTAGGTACGGCTGGCAATGGTTTAGATTACTCTGCAATCAACAACACATTTATTGGTACCACGATATTAATTCCTGCAAATTCAACAGTCGTTAACCTAAACATCAATCCTGTCGGAGACGATATCGCTGAAGGAGATGAAACCCTTCAATTGATTCTACAAACTGCCACATCAGTTATAGCTGGCGTCACTGTTAACCTGAGTTCTACTGCCGCTGAAATACTTCTATTAGACGAAGATGTATTTTTAGATTTTTCAGTTTCCGCCGGCGATAATCAAGCTTCTGAAACCAATGATAGCTCTACTTACTTAGTGTCTATTGATGCTAATAAGACATCTAAGCAACCGATTACAGTAACTTATAACTTTACTGGCTCTGCAACTAACGGACAAGATTTTAGATTGGTCGCTCTATCACTACTGCTATCAGCAAATCAAAATTCCACTTTGATTGAAATCTCACCAATCGATGACTTTGTTGGCGAAGGCACTGAGTCTGTTCGTATTAATTTGTTATCGGCAAGTAACGCACCTAGTGGCGTTGTTTTAGCGATTAATACAGTTTCTGCTGATAACCTTATTACTGATAATGATACCAATTTAACTTTAGCCAGCAGTATCATTGACTTTCTAGCTGAAGAACAGGGTCCGAATACGGGTGCGTTCCGAATACTTTTTACTAATAATGCTTTAACTGTACTAAGTAGAGATATTCAAGTTAGTTATACGTTCGCGGGTAATGCGATTAACGGCCTTGACTACATCGTTGATCAAGGACCAATTACCATACCGGCAGGAAGCAGTGGCGTAAATTTGGTATTTACACCTATAGACGATGAAGTGGTTGGCGAAGCGAATGAAAGTGTTACTTTAATTTTGTTGAGTACCTCAGCAGCACCCACCGGTGTAACAGTAACGGTCAATAGCGCGAGTTCAACAATTCCAATTATTGAAAATGACACCAGTTTACTAGTACTTCTTGATGCCATTGATACTTCTGCTTCTGAAATAGGTCCGGATATTGGTGCATTTAGATTAAGGACTGACCGTGATAGAACATTGCAAACGACCTTAACGGTTGAATATAGTATAAGAGGGTCTGCCACTAATAGTATTGATTATAATAATATTGCCAATAGTGTCATATTTGCAGCTGGAGCCACCTTTGTTGATGTTTACATTACGCCTATTGCTAATGATTTAACCATCGAAGGCAGTGAAATTGTGGAACTATTATTGACTACAGCCCAAAGTGCTTCGTTATTAACGCTTGAGGTGAGTAGTAGTGCTGCTCAAGTAGTTATTGCAGATGCCGATATTAACATTGAATTATCATTATTGATCACAGATGCCAGTTCAGCAGAAGGTGGTGATACTGGAGTATTTAGAATAGTGCTCAATAATGCACTCAATAATAGTTTATCGACTACAACACCTTTGAATGTGCAATATCAAATTGGTGGCACTGCTGCCAATGGATTGGATTATGCAACCATCCCCACATCTTCAATTATTCAAGCTGGCTCTGGCTTCGTGCAATTAATCGTCAGTCCGGTCGACGACATCGTTACAGAAGGTATTGAAACAGTGACATTGCTATTGACTACTTATTCGGGTTTTAATAGTGAAATAAATGCAACAATTTCGAGCGTTTCTAACTTTGGTTTAATAGATATTGCTGATGCTGACAACAGTATAACTTTTGTGGTCAACAGTATTGATGATATTGCTACTGAAGATACACCATCTATTGATCCGGCTTCGGTGAGGTTTCAAATTGATGGTGGCAACATTTTAAGTACAGATGCCGTTCTTGAGTATACGTTGACTGGCACTGCTATTAATGGCTTGGATTATAGTTTATTGCCATCTACTGTTTTATTACCAGCAGGTGCTGGGAATAATTTAGTAACCATCGTCATATCGCCTATTGATGATCTTCAAGGCGAAGGCAACGAAACAATAACTGTGACATTACTTAGTATTACTCAAGGTCCATCTGGTGTTATTTATAATATATCGCCTAGTGCTTCAAGTATTGGTTTAACGTTAATTGACAATGACGATACTATTGTCATTACACCCAGTGTAATCACCACTAGTATTACAGAAAACCCAGTTACAACTGGACAATTCCAGCTAAGTTTAGGTAGTAACGGTATTACTTCAGTTTCTGATTTAATCGTGTCGTATAGCTTGTCAGGGAGCGCCATTAATGGCATCGATTATCAAACCACACCTTTGAGCGTGACCATACCTGGTGGCCAAAATACGCAGTTGATCAATATTGCTACGATTAATGATGCGTTAGCTGAGGGGATTGAATCATTGCAGTTAACTTTACTTTCTGTATCTGGAGCACAATCAAGAGTGAATGTGTCTGTATCGACCATTAGTGCAGCCATTGACATTATTGATGATGACACCAATGTCAATTTGTTTACGATTGCTACCGACAATATTGGTAGTGAAACTGGACCAGATACAGCAACATTTAGTATTACAGTCGGCAATGCATTTCAAGTTCCGGTGACTATTACTTATAGCTTGTTAGGGGATGCAATTGCCGGTCTTGATTACTCTAACCCTGGTACTAGTATTATTTTTGCCGCGGGCACAACTAGTAGGGACATTAATATTATTCCTAGTTCTGATTTGGTAGCAGAATCTACAGAATCAGTGCTATTAAGCTTGAGTACTATTACGGGCTTGCCTGTTGGGATATCTATTGTTGTCTCTATATCTAGTGACGATGTGCAAATCCTTGATGATCCAGCCGATAACAACATTGTGGCTGGCGTTTTGGTGACTGACTCTGAAGGTTCAGAGGTAGCAGGTAATAATGCCTCGTTTGAGTTAGGCATACTCAATGGATTTTTAGCGGGTAGCAATTTATTATTCGAATATTCTATTTCTGGCACGGCGCTAAATGGCAGTGATTACCAATTGCTAGCTTCGACTGTGATTGTGGCCGAAAATAGTAGCGCTACTTCTTTGGTGATTATCCCTATTGATGATAGCCTAGCAGAAGGATTTGAGAATGTAGTCATTCAACTGACTACAGTTACAGGGCAAGATAGCGGAATCAATATTTCTTTATCGTCAAACAGCACTGCTCAGGCACAGATTGTTGATGACGATAACAACATTAATATTGTTAGTAGCGTTGTTGATGGTACAGCCTCTGAGCCAGAAAGTATTGGAGGGAATGGGCAATTTTTGTTAGCACTATCAGGAAACACTGCATCTCAGACAGATTTGACAGTGGTTTATTCTCTCGAGGGTTCAGCTACCAATGGTGTGGATTACAATCGTATTGATTCAACCGCAGTAATTCCTTTAAATTCTACTTTTGTTAATATCGCGATTATTCCTGTTTCTGATAACGTAGCAGAGGGTAATGAATTTATATCACTGACGATCACGAGCATATTAGGCGCTTCTGATGGCGTTAATGTTAGCTTTGACACGGCGACGAGGGTGATTAACTTAATTGATGATAGTAATGATTTAAATATTACTGTTAACGCTTTTGTTAGTGACGCTCTAAGCGCAGAAGAGAACTCTGAAACAGCCAATTTTAGAATTACCCTGACAAGAGAACTTAACCAGGGTTTATCTATATTTTATACGCGATTAGGCACCGCCATTAGTGGAATCGATTATAGTGATTTTGGTAATCCGATTATTGTACCTCCAGGAAATACAAGTTTTGATGTTGTGGTCATTCCTGTCGATGATAATTTGATTGAAACCAATGAAACTATCCAATTATTAATTCAGACTTATGTCGGCATTCCTTCGGCAGTTACCGCTAATTTTATAAGCACAGGCGTTTTAGATGTCAGCATTACGGATAACGATACCGTACTTAATATTATTAGTTCTGCGCTTATGCCAACGACATCTGAAAGCAGCCAGATCAGCGCAGCATTTGAAATTAGCCTAAGCTCAAATATTAGCACAGACGTTACTGTTTTTTATAGCGTCGAAGGTACTGCTAGCAATGGGCTTGACTATGTTCAATTATCAAATAGTGTTGTAATACCAGCTCAAAATTTGACTAGGGTGGTCAGTATTACTCCTTTTGATGATCTAATTGTAGAAGGTAATGAAAATGTAGCTTTGAGAATAAACAGTGTTTCAGGTTTGCCTAGCGCTACTACCGCTACTTTTTCAACTCAACCCGATTCAATTATCATTGTTGATAACGATTTATTGCTAAACATTGATTTAGCTGTACAAGATTCGGTAGCGAATGAAGCTGGAGATACAGGATCATTTGTTATTTCTACAAACAATATATTGTCTAATAACATTACCATTGTATATAGTGTCGCTGGAACGGCTCTTTCTGGTTTGGATTATCAAACATTGACTAGCACGGTATTATTACCTTCTAACAGCACTAGGATTGAAATTATTGTAACGCCTTTACAAGATAGCTTAGGAGAAGGATCTGAGAGTGTATCTATTCGGTTGATGAGTGTTATTGGTGTTAGTTCTCAAGTAACCATTAATTTAGATAGTGATACAGAGACAGTCACTATTGAAGATTCCACTATTCGCCTTACCCTTAGCAGCCTTGATGGTCTAGCATCCGAGCTTAATCAAAATGTTGGTGTTTTCCAGTTTGATATCGACCAAGTCTTGCCTGCAAATTTATTAGTTGTATATAACATTGCAGGTACTGCAACCAATGGTACTGATTACGAGACTATTGGTAACTCACTGATAATTACTGCTGGAACCACTATTCAGCTTGTGACTATTACCCCGCAAGAAAATGATGGTTTTGTCGAAGGCACAGAAAATGTTGTTCTTAGCATTAGTACCCATAATGGCGCAGCACAGAATGCTAATATCATAGCAAGTACAGGAAATGCGATTGTTACTATCTTGGATGGCACTACTTTAGACCTTACAGGCGTGGTGCTTGATGATATAGGGGCTGAAGTCGATAATAATACTGCCACATATAGATTGCAGTTTGCACAAAATAGATCAGTAGCGGTTCCTGTTACTCTATTTTATAGTATTGGCGGTAGTGCGATTAATGGTGTGGATTACGACGCTATTACTGTAAGTCGTATTATCAATGCTAATGAAAATTTCACGGATATTACGATTACACCAATTACTGATTCTATTACTGAAGGTGATGAAACGGTCACTTTGACGCTGTTATCAATACAAAACTTGCCTGTTGGTACACAATTCACTATAGAGACTAGCACTTTCATTGTCACCATATTAGATAGCCAAATTGTTAATATTAGTATTGTCACTCTCGACAACTCAGCATCAGAAGCTAGCGGTGGTATTGGTACTTTTGAAGTTAGGCTGGATAACGCGATTTCTTCACCCTTAATTATTGGTTATACCATTAGCGGTTCGGCTATTAATAGTAGCGATTACAATACCATCAATGATCGAGTAGTTGTGGGTGCTAATAGTTTTGCCAGTTCAATACCAATTGCCGCAATTGCCGATGGCGTATTAGAGGGTACTGAAACAGTTCAATTATCAGCTTTAACACTGGTCACCGTGCCCGTTGGTGTTAGCGCTACGATTAATAGTAGTTCAAGCAGTGCTATCATTTCAATTTTCGATACTCCAGTTAATTTACAAATCACCAGTGTAGATACGACGCTAAGTGAGAGCGGACCAGGCTTACCAATAGACCCCGGTAGTTATCGAATAAGTCTTGATACTGTAGGTATTAGTAACAGTATTACTGTTGAATATACGATTGCTGGAAGCGCTCTCAATGGCACAGACTATAATCGAATAGGTACGACTTTAAGTTTTGTTCCAGGAGGTAGTCTATCGACGGACCTAGCAATTGTTCCCATAGCCGATTCTCTAATTGAAGGCGCTGAATTTGTTAGCTTGCAACTCTTATCTGTGAG